CTTCGGCTCTCCGGGCAGATGCTCTACCACTAGACCACTAGATCAGAAATATTTTACAAATATGAATATGAATATTATTAAGATAATAAAATATGAGCACAGATTATTTATTAAAGCAAACCTCCTACTGTACATTATGTATACTTGTGCTAAATTAATAGTTGTATGAATACCATATGAAATTATTAAGTATGGTTTCAAAAAGATGTGTCTTTAATTTAATTTCATACGTCATAAAAAATAGGATCACATTTTCAAGGAAATGAAATTAATGTGTGACCCAGTTTTCCAAGGGGCTTCACTGTGCACTTTCTTTCACCATGCCACGACCCCAGATAATGGGCATGGGTTAGAACCCGGAATTGACCCGATTAGGACCCTTGGTTTGTCAGTACCATACCAATATGTATTTGTCTCACCGATGTGGTAAATGTCTAAATCATGCATCAGTTTCGGCTACCCCCTAGGCAAAGTGCTAGATGCAACTCACTTGCATAAACGGGGGCATGGGTGGCCCAGTCGTCTGAGGCGCCGTGATTCGCTGTGCAGAGTTGTGTCCCTTGGGCACGCCAGAAAACCTATAATTGTGGGTTAGCAACCGATTATGTTTCTAGGTTTGTCAGCACCATACCCGTGCTCGTGGGTTTCACCGAAGTGGTAAACGTCTGAGACCTGTATCACGTCGGGCTTTCCTCCCACATTAAGCTCACATACTGTGATATAACTGGAATACTGTTAAAAGCGGCGTTAAACCCAACTCACTCACTCACTTGCATGAACACAAACTTGACCCATTTACCTGAAGCACATCTATAATCATAATTATAATAAATGGATACTTGTCCATCTGTTGAAGCATCCCAAAAGCACTAACACCATTATTATCTGGTTAATAGATCAGTGTGCAAAGAAAGGACAATGTGTAATAAAAAATGTCAGTTTGAACGAAAGGACACTAAACTGCGAAAGGACATTCTTTAGCAGTTGAGTGTCCTTCCGTGTGCACTGACATTCTTAAGTACACATTGTCCTTTCTTTTCATATGACATCTTTTTGTAAAATTTGACTATTATACCCGGTATTGCATACTTTTGACCTTTATTTCAACTTTGTATTTTTTTACAGGTGTCTGTTTGTTTGGTAATTTGACCTTTATTAGTAACATTTAGTACTTTAATCGTAACATTTGACTATTATTGCATACTTTTGTCCTTTATCTCAACTTTGTATCTTTTTACTTTTTGTTTTGTAATTTTACCTTTATTAGTTACATTTGATACTTTAATCATAACATTTGACTATTATTGCACACTTTTGTCCCTTTATTTCAACTTTGTATTTTTTTACAGGTGTCTGTTCCTTTTATAATTTGACCTTTATTAGTAACATTTAATACTCTTATCGTAACATTTGACTATTATTGCATACTTTTGTCCCCTTGTTTCAACTTTGTTTTGTTTTACCGAACGGCTGCCCATAGTAATGTATAACTGCACTGTAAATGATTGGCAACTATTACTCAGTATATCACAATATCAATGAGAATCTCTTAGGCTTCAAGATACAACAGGTATATCATGTGTTCACATCAGCCCACTACCTGCGGTATTTCCATGCAAATTTGTGTCATCATTAATCCACTGCCCTATACTTCACACATAAGTCAGAACAATATGTGGTGTCATGCCCTATGCCTGTATAAAGATACATATTTCATGACAACTCTCTTCATAATCAAATAGAGAAATGATTGTCTCTTTTAGCTGGAAATGATACAATATGCCTGATGTTAGTGAGTAGCTATTGTACATAATTTCTTCCATTTCAATTAGTAAATTAGATTGCTTTACCCATGAATAAATTCAATTTTCATGAACATCCCTTGCTTATTAGACAGGAGGCATTAACTGTAACTAGTTGTTTACACTTCACATGACTATTCAGAGTCCCGTGGAATGCACTGGACGCATAAAAGTGTCACACAAAACAATTTCACTGGAAATAAAATATTCATGACTTGTTGAAATGTAATGATAAATTTGTTGCAGGTGTGAACAGGTGCATGTGTGGGGGTTAACGAGCTGACAGACCATTCAACTTGACAAATACTGTACACCTCACATGTGCACATCTTGACCTTCGGTAAGACCATTCAACTTGTCAAATACTGTATGCTTCACATGTGCACTCCTTGACCTTCAGTATGACTATTCAACTTGACAAGTACTGTACACCTCATATGTGCACATCTTGACCTTCGGTAAGACCATTCAACTTGACAAATACTGTATGCTTCACATGTGCACATCTTGACCTTCAGTAAGACCATACAACTTGTCAAATGCTGTATGCTTCACATGTGCACTCCTTGACCTTCGGTAAGACCATTCAACTTGTCAAATACTGTATGCTTCACATGTGCACTCCTTGACCTTCGGTAAGACCATTCAACTTGTCAAATACTGTATGCTTCACATGTGCACTCCTTGACCTTCGGTATGACTATTCAACTTGTCAAATACTGTATGCTTCACATGTGCACTCCTTGACCTTCGGTAAGACCATTCAACTTGTCAAATACTGTATGCTTCACATGTGCACTCCTTGACCTTCGGTAAGACCATTCAACTTGTCAAATACTGTATGCTTCACATGTGCACTCCTTGACCTTCGGTATGACTATTCAACTTGTCAAATACTGTATGCTTCACATGTGCACTCCTTGACCTTCGGTAAGACCATTCAACTTGTCAAATACTGTATGCTTCACATGTGCACTCCTTGACCTTCGGTAAGACCATTCAACTTGTCAAATACTGTACACCTCACATGTGCACTCCTTGACCTTCAGTTGAGACCATTCAAGTTGTCAAATACTGTATGCCTCACAAGTGGGACACTACAGCTACCTATTGACATAAAATGAGTTTCCAATAGATCTGGGTTACAATTTGTCTTCAGCAACCCATGCTTGTCGTTAGAGGCGACCAATGGGATCGGGTGGTCAGACTTGCTGACTACATGCATGTCGTTGTATCTCAATTGCATAGATCGATATTCATGATGTCAATGATTGTCCAGACTTGACTATTTAAAGACCCCTTTCATACATCTGGAATATTGTTGAATGCCGTAGGGTTGGGCAAGTACCTCAGGTACTGGTGTCGAGGGTACTAAGTAGAACCCAAGTGACCACAGGACTACCCTGACCCGTGGTTAGTCATTTGATTATATTGTCAAATGGCTTAAATTATCTAGAACTCCATGGTTACATTGTGACAAAGGTTTACATTTCTTTCTGACTATGCACACATTCCTTCTGACTTTATAGGTTTGCATGAAGAAAAAACTTCAGTCAAGTTCAGTCAACTTCAGTGTATGCACAACCAGACCGTTTAATACGTGTACCTATAAATTTTCTGCCGGAAATACGGTCACACATTTCCCAATCAGACATTTTGTACCCATCTCTCGAGACCTACCAGGTAGGGTCGGGTAATAGCGAGGTGGGTACCCCGGTAGTAAATATGGACTCGTCACAGCCCTAGAGTGTGGTGGTTAACAACATCAAATTACAGAAACTCTATCATTTGATGAGATCAATAGGACTTTAAGAAATTCTTTGTTTACCCTTTGAGTGAAGACCTGGAGTTGTCACTGATTTTCAGTGATCCGTTCATATATTTTTCAACACCATTTTTCTTTTTGCACCCAATGAAATAAGATTTGGCAGATAATCGACAATGGTTGTTCTCTGTCGTTGACGTTTTATGTTTACATACATCATGTCAAACATGCCACTGATCAACACCTGGTGGGGTAGCCTAGTGGTTAAAGCTTTCGCTTGTCACACCGAAGACCCGGGTTCGATTCCCGACATGGGTACAATGTGTGAAGCCCATTACTGGTGTCCCCCACTGTGATATTGCTAGAATTTTGCTAAAAGTGTTGTAAAATCATACTCACTCACTCACTCATCAACACCCTCATGATTTGATCTGATATTTGAGACCTCTTCCAGTAGAAGGGATTGCTCAGCCTAAAATAACATTCAAGAATATTGATGTGCCTACCCATGAGCATGGAGCCACATAATGCCAACGTATGTCCGTAATAACACAGCAACAAATGATGAAATCAGACAAATACTTTGTCTTCATCTCTACCGATGCACAGATGCAGTCATGAGCTGCTCCAGAGAAACAAGCATGCTTTACTCTCATGCTGATGTAGAACTATCGACGTAAGTAAATACCTATAGACAGAGGACAAATGAACATATGATAATGTCATCATCTCTGTTTGATATAAGCAGCCCTGGCTAAATATTTACCAGGCTAATTAAGATATATGTATATATGAATCAATGAATGTGGTCCTAAGTAGGTAAATATTCCCTTGTGTGCATTTTCCTCCCAGAGAAAGAACTGGTTCTAGTGGTAGCTGAAGATGGACCGTTCATCTCAGCATGTAAAAGCTTTTAAATTAAAAGCTAACAAACCTGTCAAAATTTTGTTTGTTGCAGATTTTGATTTCATTTAAACATGTTTGCCACAAATCATTTGCTGAAAAGATAATTAAAATTCAAACTGGTTGTAAGTAAGTAGATTCAATCAGTAAGGACTTCAGAACTGTAGTGCAGCTACAACTGGTGATGAGGTACAAGCTACAACTGGTGATGAGGTACAGAGGTACAAGCTACAACTGGTGATGAGGTACCGAGGTGCAAGCTACAACTGGTGATGAGGTACAGAGGTACAAGCTACAACTGGTGATGAGGTACAGAGGTACAAGCTACAACTGGTGATGAGGTACAGAGGTACCAGCTACAACTGGTGATGAGGTACAGAGGTACAAGCTACAACTGGTGATGAGGTACAGAGGTGCAAGCTACAACTGGTGACGAGGTACAGAGTACAAGCTACAACTGGTGATGAGGTACAGAGGTGCAAGCTACAACTGGTGATGAGGTACAAGCTACAACTGGTGATGAGGTACAGAGGTACAAGCTACAACTGGTGATGAGGTACAGAGGTACCAGCTACAACTGGTGATGAGGAACAGAGTACAAGCTACAACTGGTGATGAGGTACAGAGGTGCAAGCTACAACTGGTGATGAGGAACAGAGTACAAGCTACAACTGGTGATGAGGTACAGAGGTGCAAGCTACAACTGGTGACGAGGTACAGAGGTGCAAGCTACAACTGGTGATGTGGTACAGAGGTACAAGCTATAACTGGTGATGAGGTACCGAGGTGCAAGCTACAACTGGTGATGAGTTACAGAGGTGCAAGCTACAACTGGTGATGAGGTACAGAGGTACAAGCTATAACTGGTGATGAGGTACAGAGGTGCAAGCTACAACTGGTGATGAGTTACAGAGGTACAAGCTACAACTGGTGATGAGGTACAGAGGTGCAAGCTACAACTGGTGACGAGGTACAGAGGTACAAGCTACAACTGGTGACGAGGTACAGAGTACAAGCTACAACTGGTGATGAGGTACAGAGGTACAAGCTACAACTGGTGATGAGTTACAGAGGTACAAGCTACAACTGGTGACGAGGTACAGAGGTACAAGCTACAACTGGTGACGAGGTACAGAGTACAAGCTACAACTGGTGATGAGGTGCAGAGGTACAAGCTACAACTGGTGATGAGTTACAGAGGTACAAGCTACAACTGGTGACGAGGTATAGAGGTGCAAGCTACAACTGGTGATGAGGTACAGAGGTACAAGCTACAACTGGTGATGAGGTACAGAGGTACAAGCTACAACTGGTGATGAGGTACAGAGGTGCAAGCTACAACTGGTGATGAGTTACAGAGGTGCAAGCTACAACTGGTGATGAGGTACAAGCTACAACTGGTGATGAGGTACAGAGGTACAAGCTACAACTGGTGATGAGGTACAGAGGTGCAAGCTACAACTGGTGATGAGGTACAGAGGTGCAAGCTACAACTGGTGATGAGGTACAGAGGTACAAGCTACAACTGGTGTTGAGGTACAGAGGTGCAAGCTACAACTGGTGATGAGGTACAGAGGTACAAGCTACAACTGGTGATGAGGTACAGAGGTACAAGCTACAACTGGTGATGAGGTACAAGCTACAACTGGTGATGAGGTACAGAGGTACCAGCTACAACTGGTGATGAGGTGCAGAGGTACAAGCTACAACTGGTGATGAGGTACAGAGGTACAGAGGTACAACTTGTGATGAGGTACAGAGGTGCAAGCTACAACTGGTGATGAGGTACAGAGGTACAAGCTACAACTGGTGATGAGGTACAGAGGTACCAGCTACAACTGGTGATGAGGTACAGAGGTACAAGCTACAACTGGTGATGAGGTACAGAGGTACAGAGGTACAACTTGTGATGAGGTACAGAGGTACAAGCTACAACTGGTGATGAGGTACAGAGGTACAAGCTACAACTGGTGATGAGGTACAGAGGTACAAGCTACAACTGGTGATGAGGTACAGAGTACAAGCTACAACTGGTGATGAGGTACAGAGGTGCAAGCTACAACTGGTGATGAGGTACAGAGGTACAAGCTACAACTGGTGATGAGGTACAGAGTACAAGCTACAACTGGTGATGAGGTACAGAGGTGCAAGCTACAACTGGTGATGAGGTACAGAGGTACAACTGGTGATGAGGTACAGAGTACAAGCTACTATGTAAATGGTCAGCAAAATATTTCACTTGTAATCTCTTCCATTACTGAAACAATCCATAGGTCAATTAACTTCTTGATATATTTCATTCTTTCAGACCTTTATAATTAAACATGGTAAGTTATTATTACTACTTGATAAGTCAAAATTCTAGAAATGAGGGAGTGGTCGGGTGGTCTAGTTGTTAAAGTGTTAAAAGATTCACTAACAGGTTCCTTTTGTGAGTCAACTATAGCCATCCCTATGATTTTGCAGCAGTTCCAGTAATGCTTTGTGTAAACACCCACTCAGATTCCTACAGATAAAAAGGGTTTGATACATAAATGTACATAAATCTGATGAGCTACATCTCTAAATATACAGGAATCAGGTGAGCTACATCTCTCGATCTACATGAATAAGTTGTACTTTATATCTAAATCTTGAATCAGGTGAGTTACATCTCTAAATCTACATGAATCAGGTGACCCTATATCTCTAAATAGTCATGAATCGGGTGAGCTACATCTCTAAATCTACACGAATCAGGTGAGCTATATCTTTCTTAAACTTCATGAATTAGGTGAGCTACATCTCTAAATCAACAGGAATCAGGTGAACTATATCTTTCTAAATCTTAATGAATAAGGTGAGTTACATCTCTAAATCTTCATTAATCAGGTGAGCTACATCTCAAAATCTGCATGTATCAGTTGATCGAAACCTCTCAATCTTCATGAATCAGGTGAGCTACATCTCTAAATCTACATGAATCAGGTGAGCTTTATATCTAAATCTTGAATCAGGGGAGCTACATTTCTAAATCTACATGAATCATGTGACCCTATATCGCTAAATAGTCATGAATCAGGTGAGCTACATCTCTAAATATACACAAATAAGGTAAGCTATATCTTTCCAAACCTTCATGAATCAGGTGAGCTATATCTCTAAATCTTCATGAATCAGGTGAGCTACATCTCTAATCTACATGAATCAGGTGAGACTTATCTCTTAATCTTCATGAATCAGGTGAGCTATTTTTCTAAATCTACATGAATCAGGTGAGATATCTCTAAAGATTCATGAATCAGGTGAGCTATATCTCTAGATTTACATGAATCACGTGCACTACAACTGTAAATACACATGAAACACTAAAATGCACCAGGTGAGCTACAACTATCCCATCTTATCGGCAAATCCCCCATTGTAACAATACACATTCAACACCTATCTCTGCCCCACAGTAAGTGTCTACATCACGATTCATATCGCTCACAAGAGGCTTAGAACATCCTCCTTGCCTAACCCTAAACCTTTGTACAGGTAAATGTCACCAGCAATGAATCATGGTTATCACCTGTACATACACAGGGATGCATGGATATCAAGGTGTTCCAGTCTGGGCAGCAGCTCTGGCTTCACTTATCAGTAGTTGAATTAGGCCACACATTTTTTCCCCGTTTCACGGCCCCGCCGCCCCTACTGATAAACCGCCAGTCCAAGCAATAAATTAAACATAAAAAACATTTATTTTTATTATGGTTTCCGCAAGTAAAACATTCATTCTTAAATATTCTAAGATGCCTCGCTAAAAGATTGCATTAAGAATATTTAACTTTTCACGTAACTATCCTGTTGCAGAAATTGGCCTGGTTGCTGGGATTTTTTTGGAAGTTATTTTTTTACAAAACCAGATATTTTCATATTTAAACTACGAGTCTGATCTTTTATAAAAGAAAAACACATTGCAAGAATGATTTTTTTTGTGACAGGTAATTTCATTTATTTCAACAGTCTGAAGCATAATTATTTGTTTCAAGAGTTTTAGGGGACTATATTTTTTTCTCATAAAATCCCAGCCGCCCCCAACCCGATTTTCAAATGGTCGGTCCCTAAAGGGTTCCTGATTAAAATTTTATCCTGTGTCTTGCACAATTTGACTTAAAGTCTTTAAAGACTTTTCACAGCAGCAATCGATTTTGGTCACATGTCAATTTAGGACTTCCAGTCTTTAGGTATTGCTTGATGGCTTCCTTTAGAAGTCAGGTTACAGGTCTCAGGTGCCGTAATCTGCTGTGCAGAGTTGCCTCCCTTGGGCATGACAGAATCATCTGATCATGGGTTCGAATCCGAGATTCAGCCTGATACATTCCAGGTTTGTCAGCACCATACCCATGCTCGTGGGTTGCACCAAAGTTGTAGGTGTCTAAGACCTCCATCACTTCGGGATCTTTCTGACCATGGAGCCAACATCCCGTGATGTAGCTGAAGGACTGTGCACTGCTGCTTCAGACCAATTGCTTTTGTGAATGTGTTGAGTTGTGACAAACTACATTCCTAATGACAAATTATGTGACAAATACTTATTTGTGTGTTTTCCTATTTTCAAATGTAATCTCATACTGAGATTTCAGAATACCAAACAAATGATATTCAAGTCTTTGAAAGGCATTTTGAAGTGATACACATAAGGAAGAAAATAAATGGTTGTCAACTTCTTAATTCTGAGCATCACAACATTTTGGATTATATACTGTAAATCTTGAAATTAACGCAAGCGTGAATTAAATGCGAAAAATGTGAGTGGTCTTAGCTCGCATTCATTAACTTCGCATTTATGTCACCGAAATGACTAGCAACAATAAGACGGCCTCACTGCACACTTTTGACAGCGGAAATAGCAACTTGAATATAAACACAAACATGGTTTATTGAACAGCAGTTGCAACAAGTATATAACAATGTCATTCAAAGAATAGGAATTACACAACAGGCATCCGATGAGTTATCACTGTTGGGGTCAAGAATTGTACCCACTCATGTCAAGCTTGTTGACACCTTCGCATACCAATCAGTGAACTGTTGTTGGTTTGATTATTTTATTTCCTTTGAACTTTCTTTAAGGCCAGTCAACAGAGTAAACATATATACTGTGTGTTGTTTTTAGGAAAACACTGTTTATTGTTTTTACCGAAGGGTTCTACTCAGTGCTAATAAGCGGTGCTATTTGCTGTTTGATTGGATACAGGTAAGGTTAGATTAAGGTAAGTCTATCATTCCACTGGGGATGGGGGAGGGTGGGGAGGGGAGTTGCGTCGTATTTGAATAGGGGTCAGCAGTTGCATTAATTTGGAGATGCATTAATTGCCAGATTTACAGTACCTACTCGTTTAATTACCCGATGAATGAGTAAGCACATACTCTGAAACGTTGTGTTCCTCATAACAAAGATGTTGACATCCATAAATTCTCTTCCTTGAATGATATTGAAATAAAATTTATGATGCTTTGAACATTCTAAAAATATGTCAAACAGAAATCCCTGCACATCCTCACATTTGACTTCGCCAGTTGCATGTCATCAATGAGTTTTTTAACATGCTCATGATATCAATCACTGGTTTGTCTGGTCCAAGCATTTTTACAGGCTGATGTGATATACAGACTATTATACTCAAATGTGTGTCATACTGATTTTACGAAACAAATGTCTGAATTTTTATATTTCCCGAGTGAGAGCGAGGGTAATACATGAATTCTTACACAAGTTTTGTAAAATCAGTGTGACACACATGCGAGTATAATAATTTCTTTATTACCTTTCTTTATTACCCATTATTTCTTAATTCTTTTGAGCTCCCCTTTAGAAAAATGCACTTATCATGACTGCCGTCTTAGAAAACCACAATTGTCGAATGATGTCAACAATCTTCAGCTACGAACCTTCTAGTGTGATATCATTCCGAGCTTACAGCACAATAACATTCAAAGGACGTCAACAATGCCATCCACATGATGGAAACAATACACTGGTGCGGGTGAAGTGATATTTACACTAGCAGACATACAATTTTAATGAACTTGGTTATTTCTAACCTCATGGGTAATAAAGTTCAATACCGGTAGTTGTTGACTGATGAGTCAAACAAACAAACATTGCTGTTTTTACATTTTTTCTGGCACCCATGGAAGGCCTCCCCCTTGAGCTACAGGACTGTGTAATGAGCTTGTAGATACGTCCAAACTGCCAACAACCTCCATGTTTCATTACTGAGTTCTCATACTGCCTGTTGTTGCTCCAGTGGAGCTGTCACCATCACTGAAATGCTAAATGTTGACATTAACATGATAGAAGATTTTCATGTCTATAGATGTATGTTCACTGGGTTGATCTAGTGCCACATCGTGTGTGGTGGTCATTGTGGTAACAATGTTTGATCCATAATTCCATGAAATACCGCGTTCAAATAAAAGATGAATTTTGTCATGATTGAGGACAGGGTCATTTGATTCTGTTGGCAGGCTATCAATCAATTCTACGAATCATCACACGTTTTGACTGTGTTGGAATAGCCTTGTAATAGGTCCCACTGCATGGAGCCTTCTTGTGCTGATGGAGAGAATAATCTCATCAATCAGTACTTATTTTCCCATGATTCGGACCGACACGTGAGCTGGCATGAATACACAGATAATACTGAACAATATACAATAGGGTGGACTGATAACTTGATTACTACCACACTTCCAGTACAAATCAAATATGGTTTCTTTATACCTTGGTCATTATCATCAATCACCAGCTCTCCAGGTGCTGTTACCATTGGAGCTGTGGGAGGAGGGGATCCCTCACAGCAATAATCATACATTGAATTAAGCTGTGCCTACATGGACAGCATATTGCTGGTGAGGGGCTGCATGCTAGCAGGTGCTTGTGAGAGGGGTGGGGAAGTAATTAGTTAGCACTGTGATCACTTGTGAAGAGGTAGGGGGCGGGGGGGTAGGGAATGATAGCTCTGTGATCTCTGGTGAAGGCTATAGTGGTCGTGTTTCATATTTTATCATTTTATCAGTTGTAGGGGGCTTAGGGGGTGGGGGTTGATAGCTCTGTGATCAATTGTTAGGGGGGTGGGTTGAGAACTCTGTGATCAAGTGTTAGTGGGGTGGGGATAGCGGTGGGAGATGGCTCTGTGATCAATTGTTAGTGGGGTGGGGAGACGGGTGGGAGATGGCTCTGTGATCAATTGTTAGGGGGGTTGGGGGTTGAGAACTCTGTGATCAAGTGTTAGTGGGGTGGTGATAGCGGTGGGAGATGGCTCTGTGATCAATTGTTAGGGGGTTTTGGGGTGGGGGTTGAGAACTCTGTGATCAAGTGTTAGGGGGGTGGGGAGAGCGGTGGGAGAAGGCTCTGCGATCAAGTGTAAGGGGGTCAGGGAAAGGGGTGGAAGATGGCTCTGTGATCAATTGTTAGGGGGGTGGGGAGACGGGTGGGAGAAGGCTCTGTGATAATTGTTACGGGGTAGGGAGAGGGGTGGGAGAAGGCTCTGCGATCAAATGTTAAGGGGTGGGGAGAGGGTCGGGAGAAGGCTCTGCGATCAAATGTTAGGGGGTGGGGAGAGGGGTGGGAGAAAGCTCTGCGATCAAATTTTAGGGGGTGGGGAGAGGGGTGGGAGAAGGCTCTGCGATCAAATGTTAGGGGGGATGGGGAGAGGGGTGGGAGAAGGCTCTGTAATATGATCAATTCTGATCTGGTTGGTATTTGAAAGTAGGTGAAATCTGTAAGAATATAGACACTCCTGAGGAAAGAATATGGACAAACTGTACATGTGGATTGAGGGAGGGGTGAGAGACCTCGAGGGTAAGGTGGTGAGTCATCTTTGGGGGTGAGCGCAAACAAATATCACAATGCAGGTGTTACTCAGGGGGATAAGGTGCAGAACACAGCTGTGTTGGAGACAAACACTGTGTAGGTGTGTTGTAGGAGGAGTACATGTGTAGTGTTGGTGGTGGGGGGCGGGGCAGGGGTCATCGTTGTGACTTCTGGAGAGTTGCAGATTGATTCTGTTTGCTGGGACAGAAGGATGCAGAAGGAAAGAGGGGTGAGGAAGATTGGAGGGGGAGGGGTGTGAGCAGGGGGAGAGAGGGGTGAAGGAGAGAGGAGGCAGAGGGTGGAGGGGTTTGGGAGAAAGAGGAGAGAGGAGTTAAGGAGAGAGTGTGGTGGAGGGGCTAATGGGGCGAAGGGAGAGAGAGGAGGGGAGGGGAGAAAGGGGGAGAAGACGGAGGGGGAGAGAGGGATGGAGGGGGAAATGGGGCAGAGGGGTGGAGGGGATGGGGAGAGAGATGTGAAGGGGGAGAGATGAGGGGAGGGGAGAAAGGGGGAGAAGACGGAGGGGGAGAGAGGGATGGAGGGGGAAATGGGGCAGAGGGGGAGAGAGCGGTGGATGTGGAAATGGGTAGACGGGTCAGAGAGAGGAGGAGGGGGTGGGGGGAGGGTGACATGGCAGCCTGTGCCATTGTAGGGGGTGGAGCATTCCTCACACTATTGATCACTAGTTTCAGTGTTCCAGGCTTGACAATCGACATTCAACTGTGATATATCATATATCAATAAAATGTCATTTGTGTATGCTGCTGTGACCTTGATTAAGATATGAATGTAAACTACCCCGAGAACAGCCTGACAGTGGGTGGACGAAATCTCCACCACCATATATCATATATCAGGTGATTACAGGTGGAACACAATAAGCACTTCATTCCCATCCGACAATATTGTCTTCATCACAGCGGCACAAGTTAATGTTGTAGGTGATACTTATTTATAAATACCCTAAAAAAACAATTTAAATGATGGGTATGTCTATATTATTGTAGAGGGGGAGAGAGCAGTTGTATCTGTTGTATAAATACCCTAAAAAACAATTTAAATGATGGGTATGTCTATATTATTTATCTAAATGCAAACTGAGGCATTGACCCCAAAATTTGCAAAATGGGGGAGAGGGGTGGGAGAAGGCTCTGCGATCAAATGTTAGGGGGTGGGGAGAGGGGTGGGAGAAGGCTCTGCGATCAAATGTTAGGGGAGAGGGGGAGAGGGGTGGGAGATGGCTCTGTAATATAATCAATTCTGATCTGGTTGGTATTTGAAAGTAGGTGAAATCTGTAAGAATATAGACACTCCTGAGGAAAGAATATGGACCAACTGTACATGTGGATTGAGGGAGGGGTGAGAGACCTCGAGGGTAAGGTGGTGAGTCATCTTTGGGGGTGAGCGCAAACAAATATCACAATGCAGGTGTTACTCAGGGGGATAAGGTGCAGAACACAGCTGTGTTGGAGACAAACACTGTGTAGGTGTGTTGTAGGAGGAGTACATGTGTAGTGTTGGTGGAGGGGGGCGGGGCAGGGGTCATCGTTGTGACTCCTGGAGAGTTGCAGATTGATTCTGTTTGCTGGGACAGAAGGATGCAGAAGGAAAGAGGGGTGAGGAAGATTGGAGGGGGAGGGGTGTGAGCAGGGGGAGAGAGGGGTGAAGGAGAGAGGAGGCAGAGGGTGGAGGGGTTTGGGAGAAAGAGGAGAGAGGAGTAAAGGAGAGAGTGTGGTGGAGGGGCTAATGGGGCGAAGGGGGAGAGAGGAAGGGATGGGAGAAAAGGGGGAGAAGACGGAGGGGAGAGAGGGATGGAGGGGGAAATGGGGCAGAGGGGTGGAGGGGATGAGGAGAGAGATGTGAAGGGGGAGAGAGGAGGGGAGGGGAGAAAGGGGGAGAAGACGGAGGGGAGAGAGGGATGGAGGGGAAATGGGGCAGAGGGGTGGAGGGGATGAGGAGAGAGGTGCGAAGGGGGAGAGAGGAGGGGAGGGGAGAAAGGGGGAGAAGACGGAGGGGGAGAGAGGGATGGAGGGGAAATGGGGCAGAGGGGTGGAGGGGATGAGGAGAGAGGTGCGAAGGGGGAGAGAGGAGGGGAGGGGAGAAAGGGGGAGAAGACGGAGGGGAGAGAGGGATGGAGGGGAAATGGGGCAGAGGGGTGGAGGGGATGAGGAGAGAGGTGCGAAGGGGGAGAGAGGAGGGGAGGGGAGAAAGGGGGAGAAGACGGAGGGGAGAGAGGGATGGAGGGGAAATGGGGCAGAGGGGTGGAGGGGATGAGGAGAGAGGTGCGAAGGGGGAGAGAGGAGGGGAGGGGAGAAAGGGGGAGAAGACGGAGGGGGAGAGAGGGATGGAGGGGAAATGGGGCAGAGGGGTGGAGGGGATGAGGAATGAGGTGCGAAGGGGGAGAGAGGAGGGGAGGGGAGAAAGGGGGAGAAGACGGAGGGGAGAGAGGGATGGAGGGGAAATGGGGCAGAGGGGTGGAGGGGATGAGGAGAGAGGTGCGAAGGGGGAGAGAGGAGGGGAGGGGAGAAAGGGGGAGAAGACGGAGGGGAGAGAGGGATGGAGGGGAAATGGGGCAGAGGGGTGGAGGGGATGAGGAGAGAGGTGCGAAGGGGGAGAGAGGAGGGGAGGGGAGAAAGGGGGAGAAGACGGAGGGGAGAGAGGGATGGAGGGGGAAATGGGGCAGAGGGGTGGAGGGGATGAGGAGAGAGGTGCGAAGGGGGAGAGAGGAGGGGAGGGGAGAAAGGGGGAGAAGACGGAGGGGGAGAGAGGGATGGAGGGGGAAATGGGGCAGAGGGGTGGAGGGGATGAGGAGAGAGGTGCGAAGGGGGAGAGAGGAGGGGAGGGGAGAAAGGGGGAGAAGACGGAGGGGGAGAGAGGGATGGAGGGGGAAATGGGGCAGAGGGGGAGAGAGCGGTGGATGTGGAAATGGGTAGACGGGTCAGAGAGAGGAGGAGGGGGTGGGGGGAGGGTGACATGGCAGCCTGTGCCATTGTAGGGGGTGGAGCATTCCTCACACTATTGATCACTAGTTTCAGTGTTCCAGGCTTGACAATCGACATTCAACTGTGATATATCATATATCAATAAAATGTCATTTGTGTATGCTGCTGTGACCTTGATTAAGATATGAATGTAAACAACCCCGAGAACAGCCTGACAGTGGGTGGACGAAATCTCCACCACCATATATCATATATCAGGTGATGACAGGTGGAACACAATAAGCACTTCATTCCCATCCGACAATATTGTCTTCATCACAGCGGCACAAGTTAATGTTGTAGGTGATACTTATTTATAAATACCCTAAAAAAACAATTTAATGATGGGTATGTCTATATTATTGTAGAGGGGGAGGGAGCGGTTGTATCTGTTGTATAAATACCCTAAAAAACAATTTAAATGATGGGTATGTCTATATTATTTATCTAAATGCAAACTGAGGCATTGACCCCAAAATTTGCAAAATAAAATATAGATATGCAAAATGTTCAATGATCAAACATGTTTCTTGTTCTGCATCTATCCAAATCTATGTATTACCCTGTCTGGCGCTCGGCATTAAGGGGCTAAAACAAGGACTGGTCGGCTCGGAGTCAGTATACTGTGTCTGAGTGTGGTATTCATGTTAAACTGCGGCATGGTATCTCAGTGAGCTAGCACTATAAATCGGCATCAGTCCGGACTAGTACAAGCAGCCACACACACACATACACGTGCATGCACGTCGCTATATAAGTGCAATAATCTTGGACGCGACGTTAAACCCAATTTCACCTCACCTCACCAAATCTATGTATGAAAGGGAGGTCACTCTCGGTTGCAACTATAACTATAGCATACAAAAGGTTAAACTGCAAGACATCAATAATAGTCATACATTCATGTATTCATACATTACTTGTCAAGAAGAACCTGTAAATCAAGTAACAATAAACCACACCTTAGTATATCAATATTTTCAATAGTAGTCTAGTTTAAGGTGACGCTACCATCTCTGTCACTACTTTGCTGTGCAGAGTTGTGTCCCTTCATTAGCTGTGCCAGAACCTTTTGTTGTGGATTTGAATCCAAGCATTGTTGTGGATTTGAATCCAAGCATGGTTAGGGCCACCTGTCACAGTGGGGAGTTTTGACTGTTGGCAGCGATGTTACCGAGTCTGTAATGAAGGTGTCACACACTGGGAAGGAGAATCTTTTCATTGGGGTTTTGAAACCAAGATTCTCCTTGATAATGATTCCAGGTGTGTAGTAAGTGTTCAGATCTACATCATTTTCATGATGCCGGAACCTAATCTTACATGCTGTTACAACTGAAATGAATGTTCAAAACAGCATTAATACCAACTTTCCACCCTTGCCAATTTAGACTGTAATTTCTGGGCTTGATAGAATGATGCTGCTTCTATGTCCCTCCTATTGACCAATCAGATTCCACCCCTCATATCACCTGCGTTTGCTTCAAACCAAATGGTGGTACCCAGTCAAGATAATCTGACCGATAATCAAGAGCTATGTTGTAATAAAATGTGTCCTACCCAGCAAAGTGCACCAAATCACATCAGCACCTTGTTTAAAAACATAACAAGATTTGGAAAATATCTGGTGACGCCGATGACAGTACACGTTTTGCAAATCCTGCAATCGACCAAAATCTGCACAGCAGTTTAGGAACCGGATGTTAATTTTGTTACACGATTTTGACTGGACATAATAGACTTGTTAGACCAGCTAAAATATAACTCCATAATTCCAGCCTTGCTCGGCAAGGGTAGAAACTGGACTTTCATAGTCAGTTAATTCCCTTGCCTCAGGAAGATGGCATATATGAAGTGAAACACCTTTAACTCAAACATTCTCATCCTCGATTATCCAGGGTATTCTATTCGATAAAAAAATACCTTGGGCCATATTCGCTTCCAAAACTTCCGATGATACAAATACCGTATTCAACGTAATAAGCGGCCCACTCTAATAAGCACCCATGGCGATATTTGCTAATAAATTGGCTAGTGAACAATTCCAATTAGCCCCCCTTCTGATTGATATATGTACACAAGACTTATTTATTTGCGTATAATATGCACTCGTGTGTTATATGCACCTTAAATATGGGCAATGAAATTCTGGAAAAATATATCTGTCATATATAAACATTTCAGGCTGTCGGCATAAACAAGGAAATTTATCTTTCAACTCTGTTTTTTTTCTCACCAAAATAATATTCTAATAATTAAGAGCCCCCATATTTCTAATTTTGAGAGCGTCCTGGGCGTTTATTACGTCGATTACGGTAGCAGTCATATCAAACCTCCCAACCATATCCACAATCAGTTTTACTTTACTACCATGTCTTGTGACCTTGACCATTGATTTTTTCATGATACATAATGTAAGAAAACAATACCGAAATTGTAACACAAAATTTATCTGTCTTCATGATGCCTATTTGTGCCGTGACAGTTAGATGGAGAAGCCGCAGATGGCAAATTATCTCGTAGTCTCAGAACAAATTTAATAGACTATGCTCCACGACCTGGTGCACATTGTCAGTCAAGTTCGAGCTGTCCATAATCATGTCTGACTGAACTTATTGTCACTGTGTAATTAGGGTAATATTGCTTTACAGACCAAGTGAGTTTTCAGAGATCTGAATTAAAATTACACTGCCTCTCTGCTCAAGCCTCACTTCAACAGTTAATCTTGGATGCCAATTACCATATATGACACAATAAGGGCTCAAATAATTTCTGCAAATTACAAGGCAAGGAGACGTCATCAAAGATGCACAGAGGTCACTCAATGAGGTCAGTCTTGATCAGATGGAAGTAAGTAATCTTCTGCCTCCTCCCCTTTGACAGACTGACCCAGAAAACATTTCAAACCAGTTACCTAGTAATCAACCTTTTCAGGACAATGTGCTGTTCTTGGAACTATATATGGAGTGGAGTGAGTATGGTTTTACGCCGCTTTTAGCAATATTCCAGCAATATCACGGCGGGGGACACCAGAAATGGGCTTTACACATTGTACCCATGTCGGGAAACGAACCCGGGTCTTCGGCGTGACGAGCGAACGCTTTAACCACTAGGCTACCCGACCGCCCCACTATATATGGATAAGGTTTTGAAGCCGGGCCCATATATACACTGATGGATCCAAGAATCCTATCAACAACAGTGCTGGTTACGGGATCCATATCCACAGCTCCAAACCCCAAGCACATTCAGTTCGCTTGCCTGATGGTCAGTCAGTATTCACGGCTGAATTGGAGGCAATTCATCATGCACTCAAACTCATACCGGAACTCCCGGAAGCAAAGGCAGTCGTCCTTTCAGACTCGCCAAGTGCACTTCAGGCCATCAGTGGCAGAAACTTAAACTCCAGGCCAAACAGTCAACAATATTCTATACGAATATACAAAACTATCGGACCAAGGGCAACAGGTGGAGCTGTGTTGGATCCCCTCTCAAATAGATATTCATGGAAATGAAAAAGCAGACTCACTGGCGAAGGTAGCTCTAGACAATGCGGATATACAGCCTATTCCTTTTAGTAAACTAGAGATAAAAAGCAAAAGCAAAGCCTCCATAGCAGAAAGATGGCAAGCCCAATGGGACACAAGTAAGATCGGCAGATGGCTATACAAAATTCCACCCAAGGTCCAACAAAAAGCCAAACTCATACTCAAATGAAAGGAAAATTTAAATTGCTATCTCACGCCTCAGACTCGGTCACAAAAAGCACTATGACAAGGTTTGTTCATCTTGCAATCAGGCTGAAACCATTGATCACATGTTACTAGAATGTCAAGACCATGCCCCAGCCTGGGCTAGGTTAAAACAAGTATTGCAGTTAGATCTGCTATCTGTCATAGATCTCCTAAAGCCAAAAGATGCAATGGCGAAGGCTAAACTACCTCTATTTCTGAGAGATGGACAGCTACTCAAACGTATATAAACAGAGCAGCCAAGGATAAAAATGAAATCATATCAATATGAGAAAATAGAAATCATATCATTACAAAAACAGAAATTATGTGAACACCAAACTCACAATAGATATGTGTACCCTACACAGGAGTCCCAAAGAGGGACAGGTCAGCCGAAATTGCTTTGGCAGAAGGCGACCACTTAAACACTTATACAACAACAACAAGGCTGCAGTAGATTCTTGGAGCTCCTAGATTATAGTTATAACCAGGGGTAGATTCTGGGAGCTCCCAGAGTATACCCCCGGGGGTTGATTCTGGGAAAGGGGGGTAGATTCTGGAA